ACCCAGGCCAGAGGGAGAGCACTACCCCTGGAGGACCATCAGAAGGCCTGTGATTGGTGAAAATATAATTCTTAATTTGCCTGACAGGCTGTGCTGTGATTGGTGTAAACGTAAATGTTTCGTTTGCATGAAAGGTTGCTGTGACTGGTTAAAAAAAGAAATGCCCTTATGTGCTGTGCTGTGACTGGTGTAAATTCAATCTTGTATTTACATGAAGAACTGTGATTGGTGCAAGCATGCTTACCACACCCCCTTTGGGCTATATAAGCAGGCTGTTTGCAACTTTTGAGTCCCCTGAGACATCTTCCTATGCTGTCTCCTACTGTTGTAAACATTAGTAAAAGGCTTCTGGTCTTTTCTTGTCTACCTTCTATCACTACTGTTAGTAGCCTGGGCTGAGCTGGTAAGACAAAGAGAAGAGAGTGGGAAAGGCGGCAAAGTGGAACAAGTGACCATTTATGGGAGCCACAGAAGGGTTCCAGAAAGTGGCCAGTGCAGAAACATAGAGAAGGAGGAGGAGACAATGAGGACTGACAGGAATAGAGAAAGGCATAGGAGCCATGGGTGAAGAAAATAGGAGGCCAAGCAGCCAAGCCTTGAGTCTCAAGGGTCTCAGACCTCCTAGGCTAGAGCTGCTAACACCCTTCACTGTAGGACCCAGAGGTCCCAGAACTCCAGGCCCACTCGGAAATGAGAGCCCTAGCAGGTGCCGCCAGCGTCTGGAAGCTCAGGATTACAATAGGGGCCAAATGCAGAGCTGCTGATGGTTAAAGCCCAGAGCAATCAGCCTCAAGCTTAACTACAGCCTGGAGCGACCAGTCCCTCACTCTCAGGGCTTGGGACTGTGAGCCTCAGGGCCCCTGAATCTGGGGCACTCAAGTACCTTAGACTGGCAATTTGGGAAGAGCTGCTCCTCGCTGGCTCAGGACTCTTACGTGAATGGGGCAGAGGGACCTTGTTCTGCTGATGGGTGACACTAGGGCATCTTCCTCCAGATGGCAAGAGCTTCCTTCCACTCGTGGTGTACCCAGGTTTCGTTAGCAGGAGACAGGGCACATCGGCTACAAAATACCACATTTGCATAAGTAGGAAGCACCAGCAGAGAAACAGAATCACAACCTGCCCAGCCTGGATTTCCTCAGGGATGCACCCCGTTTAACCCAGGGAGACACACCTAACAATTGGCTAATATCCAGATCTCCAGGACCTGTGAGGTTACAGACAGCCTGACAAACAGAAGTTCTTAAGCCCAAGGGAAGCTGCATCCCAGCAGGAAAGCTAAGAGCTCAAAATCTTGTCCAGAGATACGAAGCCAGAGTTCCCATAGCTTATGGCACAAGGTATAGAAATGGAACACGTCCCCACAGTGATTACTCCCTGGACCTCAAGCCAGGGCTTCAGCACAGATATGAATGTCTTCTACCTCTGCCTGGGCCTGTGAGCACTGAGGTGGTCATTAGCTACCTGATACATATTGCCTGCCCTCTCCTGGTGGGTGAACATTCCGTAGGTATTGGATGCATCCTTGATGTTGAAGATGGGGTAGGTGAAGCAGCAGCACAGGTGTGAGCCTGTGGGTGCTGAGGGAGCTGGGTGAGGAGGTAGAGAACAAGACCAGGACAAGGGCCAGGCTCCAAGGTCACAAAGGTCATGGGCTTTGGGCTAAGTCTGACAGCCCTAGGGCCCATGGAAGGGCCATGCAATAGGCAGATCTCAGAGGAATCGGATGCTAGACGCTCAGACCTGTAATCTTAGCCACTCACGAGGCTGAGGACTGGGGTTCAACATCCATAAGACTTTTCTCTCCAGTTAACTAGCAAGAAGCCAGGAGTGGAGATGTGGCTCAAGGGGTAAAGCAAGATTTGAGTGAAAGCTAAGGGAATGAGTTCAAGCCCCAATACTGGCAAGTAGGCAGGCACCCAAGTGCACTCATCCACACACAGAGTGGAGCTCTGTTTCTGTCCGCCCACCCAGCAAAGCCAGGCTCCACCAGCATGCTCCCTTCCCCAGCCCAGGCTGAAGGGCTCCCCAGGCCTCCCCCCTTTCCATGGTAGCACATCCCCAGCTGGAGGCAGAGAGGCAGAAAGGCTGAGCTGAGCCTTCACAAGCTGCCGGCCCTTCCTTCCTGGGAGGGTCTCTTCCGATTGGAGGCCATTTGGGGGCCTCTTTGCTCCTCTCCTTGCTCAGAATCCAGGGAGATTCCTCCTTCCCATTCCAGGAACCTCAGTCGACTCTTCCCTTGGCCTCTGTCACCTGCAGCCTCTGTCTCTCTAGCCTCCCCTCTGAATGGCACCCATGGAAACAGCACCGACCTGAGATGCCGGGGACACTGGGCCTGGCTCAGGACCTCTGTGTCCTTTCTGTACCTTTTTCAGGTGAGGTGGGATCTTGTCACTCCAGGAGTCAGAGCCCACAGCAGGCAGCCCCTGGGGGGAGGTCAGGGCAAGGACACGCCCCAGCTCACGGCGATGGGCTGTTGTACTCAGGGCTGCCCAAGTCAGGAAGGTCTGGCTGTTCTGCGTGGGGCAGAGCTGGCCGCCTCCCTACTAATGGAACCCCTAACCAAACCTAGAGTAAAAGCAGAAAGCCTGCAAAAGTCACTTGGTCTGTGTTCTGGGCCTGTCAGAAGTTTTATCTAGGAGATAGACAAAGATATTTTTCCAATTAAGCCAATGGCAGGAGCTTTCTATGGCACAGGGTTGCTGAGTTTGGACGACGGTGCACATAAACCATTGAGCTTGGGCCTAGAACTCACGACGTGGTGAACATGATCGTTACTAATGCTGCTATTCACAAAATGCACAGGGCCCATCATCAGCATTTAGCAGAGGATGAGGATCTCTCCTGCCACTGTGCTAGCACTGTGGCTCACCTCTGTAATCCCAGCTACGCAGGAGGGAAAGATGGCAGAGTTGAGGTGCAAGGTAAGTCTGGACAAAAAAGTGAGACCGCATCTCACACAACAAGCTGGTAATGGTAGTATATGATTGTAGTCTTGGCTACTGTGTGTTACCTGGTCTAGGGCATCAGGGGACCTTTGTTGTTGTTGTTGTTGTTGTTGTTGTTTTCCTTCTTCTGGAACTGGGGCTTGAACTCAGGGTCTTGCACTCTCCCTCAGATTTTTCACTCAAGGCTGGCACTCTCCCACTTGAGCCACACCTCCACTTCTGTTGGTTTTTATTTTGTTATCTTCTGATTAATGGGAGATAAGATTCTCTTGGAATTTGTCCACCCCTGTTGGCTTTAAACCTCTGTTCCTCCAATCTCAGTAGCTGGGATTAGAGGCATGAGCTACCAGGACCCAGCTTAGGTCCCATTTTTTTTTTTTTAAAAGAAACTATCTGACTTCAAACAGAGCTGTGATGGTTTATAATCTTGTCCTCCTGTGTTTAATTCTGACCTCTGATGACAAGGGTGATACTGTCACTAAATGGGGCTTAGGGCCACATCAACAGATGCCCAGAGCAAAGGGACAGATGCGCTTCCTGTCTCTCTGCCCCTACCCAGGTCCTGTGGGCCCTGGCTCCCCCAGGCTTCTCCTTCAAGGAGGTCCCTTAGCTGTCGGAGCCAGGCCGGTGGGCCTTTCCCAGGAACACTAGGCAGCCCCAGAAACTCCTGAGCAGTTGGCTCAGAAGCGGGGAGGGATGGGGGTGGTCATCTCAGAGCTCAGGGTCTGTTATGATTGGGGGGATTTGGGGAAAGAAAAGGCTCAGAGACACGGCTGCCAATCAGACTTGTGCAACTATTGCAAAATACATGTATCCACTGTGAAATCCAGCTCCAGAGCCCCACCCCTGTAATCCCAGCTGCTCAAGAGGCTGAGATCAGAGGATATCAGTTTAAAGCCATTCAGGGCAGGAAAGTCTGTGAGAGACTCTTATCTCCAATAAGCTATCAAAAAAAAAAAAAAAAAGCTGCTAGTGGTGCTGTGGCTTAAGTGGTAGAGTGCTAGCCTTGAGCAAAGAAGCTTAAGGACAGTGCCTAGGCCCTGAGTTCAAGCCCCAGGACTCTCTTGTCTCTCTGTGTCTCTGTCTCTCTCTGTCTCTGTCTCTGTGTCTCTGTCTGTCTCTGTCTCTGTCTCTGTGTCTCTGCCTCTGTGTCTCTGTCTCTGTCTCCCTCCCTCCTTCCCTCTCTCTCTCTCTCACACACACACACACACACACACACACACACAAAATTTCACCTCTTATCCTCTTCACTCTACCTGTACCTACCTTCCGGGCACCACAGCACAGGGGTTAGATGGCGGCTCCGCTGAAGATAGAGACAGTATCCTCCCAGGAGGACAGGCTCTTTGCCCAGTGTCCTCAGAGATAGAGGACCCCCCTCCATACACACACACACACACACACACACACACACACACACACACCCGGCCTGGGCAGGAGTGAGCGTGGGGTGAGGGCACGGAGCAGAGCGCTGGGAGAGACGCTGAAAAATGGATCTCTGGAGTAGCAGGGACTAATGCAACCAGGGAGGCAGCGACCCAGGCAGGACACCTGGAGCAATGTGGCTTCTCCATCTGGCCGCCCCCTGCTGACCTCAGCCCACCTCCTGGTGGCTGAAGTGGCCTGGTACGCTGTTGGATCTGCGCACGGGACCAGTGTTCCTGTGCGTCTCCGCGCGCCCTGGGCGCACGGGACACTCGCACACGGCGCGACGGGGAGCTCTGAGTCCAGAGGCTGTGAGGAGCTCGATGTGGGGCTGCGGGACGCTCAGCCCGAGACCACCCCGGGCGTCCCCAGCTCCGTCCCCCTCCCCTGCGGGTCACAGGGTCCCCAACACAGCCCTGCTTCCACTCGCCCCGCTCTGCCGGTGGCTGGGGCCTCCCCTGCACCGGGATTGGACGAGAGATCCGGGCGGGGCGCACGAGGGGGGACCCCAGAAGCCCAGGCTCC